TTTAAAAAAAAAAAAAAAAAAAAAAGCAAAAATTGATTGTAATTTTAAACATCTTGCAAACGAAAAACTCTAGCAAATGATTGTAGAACTTTTAATTTTACATCAACAAAAAAGGTCACATTCTGTCAACAGGTAATAAAAGCCCTCCTACAGCTAAATATAAATTCCATCTAGCCTGTAATCTGGCTCATTATTTCTGAGGTGTAAACATCTCAACAAAATTTTTCAGCATCAGGATACAGCAGTGCTGCTAAGAAACACAAAACTAAAATAAAGTCAAAGGTGTCATGGGGATTATAGCTGTGCAAACAGTAAGCAGCCAAAACATAACTGCTTTGGAAATTCTGTGGAAATAGAGAGAAAAACAGACTTAAGAAAAAGGATTCTCACTTCTAAATACTGACCTTTCATGAAAACGCTAATAAATGGCCAAGTACCCGCTGATTTACACAGGGCTTTCAGCTTAAGTACTGGTGATGCATTTGAAAGCCTTTTACACACTCCTGTGTATAAAAAAATGTTAGCTGTTTCTTATCACCACAAGGGAATAGCATTTGCAAGTGTACAAACAGTAAACTTAAATGATCATTGTTTTCCTAACCCTCTCGTTATTTAATTTGAAATTTTAAGAATCTTTCATAAATCCAAACACCTAACAATCTTATTCAGTTGATTTTTGTCATCTATGAAACATCTGTTCATAATAATTAAATGTGTTATAAGAAAGAGCTAGCCATAGAGGAGGTAAGAGAAGAGTGGGCTATAAATATTAGTTAAGACAAAGAAGAGAAATGATTTAAAAAATGGACAACTTTCGTGTTCAATGAATTAGAAGAGGGAAAATATAAATTTCAATATAAGTATAAAAACATAGACCACGTCAAATGCAATGATTTTGGATAATCCATGCTTTTGTCATTCACACATTGCTGGTAGGAGTGCAAAATGGTTCATCCACCCTGAAAAACAGCTCAACAATTTCTTATAAAACTAAACATGCAATCACCATACGACACAGCAAGTATAGTCTCGGGCATTTATCCCAGAGAAATGAAAACTTACATTCACACAAAAAGCTGGAGCAAATGTCCACAGCATCTTAATTCATAATAGTTAAAACTGGAAACAATCCAGATCCACACCATGGAATACGACCCAGCAATAAAACTTTCAAAGCACATGACGAGCCCTCAAATAATACGTGAGAGTTATTACTATTACCGTAATAAATGTATTTATACTCCATTTACTTCTTGAAATAATAATTGCACAGAAGTCTTGCACTCACACGAGGTAGGTTAACTTTTTGTCTAAGATTGCTTATTAGTCAACTGCACCTGTAATTTTTTAACTGAGTCATTACCTTATGATTCTCTGCATTCTCCATGGCAAAGTAAGGTGGCATCGCGGTAACAATAACCCCAAGTAAAGCTGCTTGAAAATACAGCTCAATTTTAAAAACTATGTCTGTAATTCCCTGAAAGACAACCACAGAATAAGAAATAGAACTGGGAATCACTTTATATCATGGTACTACTTTCTAAAAGACTATCAAAACCTCCGAAGAAACATGTTAGGATACCTACCCTAGACAGCAGTCGACATGAAGCAACAGGTGGCAGAGTTAACACAGCGGGCCATAGTACCAATTTGACACATTAAGATAGGATCCTGAGCAAATTATTGTCCTTCCATTTTCTTACGGAAGTACACAGAATAATACAGCATATTAATTAAGGTTCACCATTTAGTTAAAAATAATACTGTCCGTGAAGCGCAGTTAACCTGTCTCCCAGTGGTTCTGCGCAACGAACGTGGCTCTCTCAGAATGACCTTGATGCCTTCACCGGTGCCTGGACTGGACTACAAGCCAGCTGGGATCTAGGAACCCCGCCTTTTCTCCACTGGGAAAAGTCATGCCCGAGCTCAGCTTCCTATGGAGCCAGGAGCTTCTTATTCCCAGCAGGGGGGACCGTAACTCCGATAGGCCTGTGGATCCAGGTGCGGACAGCAAACGTTCCCAGACAACCTAGTAAACAGCTGGTGCCCCAAATGCAAACTACCCAGAACCACTCTCAGTGCCATGGGATGATGTGGAAAGAGGCTGCATTCTGTCGGCCCCGGCCTCCCGAGTTTCTAGCAATAAAGCCAGTTCCTTAATTCATGCCATATGACGCTGTCGAATTTGTCCCAAACTCTGGTACCTGACAGTGGAAGACCCAGACAGAACCAACAAATGTGTAAGCTGAGTAGCACAAGAAGTGGAGATTAATGAGATGACAGTTGGACTCAATTACACAGAATCTCGTCATTGAAGGGGAAAAAATGTGGAATGTGAACAAGATTATATCTGTGAATAGGGAACTTTAAAAAGTCTC